CAGAAAGACAGACTAAACTGCAAAGACTCCCATTGTGCGCTCCATACACAGGAGTCAAAAATTACATGCTGCAAGGCCAAATACTGCTTTTTGCGAACAAAATCTGTCCATGCCCACTACAAATCATGCTATAGAATGGCAGAAATAGATACAAGTCTGTATTTGAATGCTAAGTGTAATTGATTCAGGAAAATCCCAGGATTAATCTTGAAAACACAATTGGTAACATTTTGAATATGATCATAATGCGCATTACCCCAGACCATTCGTCCCGGTGTTATCGCTATCGCCACACGAGACTCCAGCTTGTCTCCTATACAATTTTCCTTCCGCCCACTTAATTTTAATATTCATATGACCTTTGCACTGACATCGATAGCCAATCGCATTCGACCGCGGACGTCACTCTAAATAAACAACTGAATAAATTAATATACCATATTTGGAAGATAGCGGGTAAATTCAACGTTGTTGGTGTGTTCCTTCGGGTTCCGAAGTCGCACGAAACGAGTTCATGTTCCGTTATCTTTCGCAAGTAAAACAGGTCGATATGTATTAAACATGGCATTTGTTTTCTTGTTTTAACCCCCTTATTACGCAAGCTTCCGTCGAAGTGGTGTTTTTTTCGACGATTTGTGGCATGTTGCAAAACGAACGAAACATTGCGGCATTCTTAGCGGTGGATAAGGGATCGACTATGTCGTCACATTTATGTCTCGTTTGAAAGAGAATAAACAACCGCTCAGAAAAATATGTTGCTAATATTTAAGTGCGGTGCCTTGAAATCGCCTGCCCGACGTCCAAATTTCAAAAGGATGTTCGATTTGCAATGACGACCGTTCATATGTACTAGGCGACGTTACTAATTACTACTAGGGTCGGTGTTTGCATTAAGAATTATAGAACAAAAGATCAGCAAAGCGGTGCTTTTGTCGGCGATTTTGTCAAAGGGAATATTGATAAAATGTTGCAAAACAGAATCGCGAGTTGGGTGAAAAATTGCGCCGGCGGCATTCTCAGCGATGGCGACACCCGAGAAACACCGTGTCACGGTGCATTCGTGCATCAGTACACCGAAGAAATACATACATATTGTTGCGGACGACTATTGTAGACTGTGTTCGTGTAGTCTTCGAGTTTGTGGACAGTTAAAGTCGTGTGTGAATTTATTCAAGCCAGGAAAAGCAGGAGGGTTAACTTATGGAAATCGTCTTTCCAATTTGATCCAGTGCGACGTTGTGAAAGGAGCGACTCTGTCGTCTCATCTATGTCTAGTTTGTAAGAGAAAGATTGATAGCGCAGAAAAATCCGCCAATAATGTAAAACAGTGGCGTGAAATTGTCAGTCATTCTAATATCTCCCAACCTGTGAACGAAATCGCCTGCCAAAACTAAAATGGCGCGTGTCACGTGACTTTGTTTACTAAAGATAGCGTGGGCGTTTGATTGACACTCAACTCATTAGTATTCCGCCAATCACAGCTACATCTACTTTCTGGATGTGCGCAGTCAAATTGTATAGGAGACAAGCTGGAGTCTCGTGTGGCGATAGCGATAACACCGGGACGAATGGTCTGGGGTAAACTTATAATAATCTTATAATACTGCCAAAATGACCACTTTCCATTAAACTACAATAATTATTAGGTGACCCCAAACTTTTAAAGTCAATATGCAAAATGAATAAATTCTTGGTATTTGCATTTGTTAGTAGACTTCTACCTTAATTGAACCGGGAGTCATGTCATGCACACAGTACCAACCAGATATGCCGATAAGCATATCATTTCCCGCTTGGTTGACCTATTATAATATGCATATCGACGAATGTCGGTGACATATACTCTTGAGTCTACGCCACGCTACGCTTATCAAAGCTGTAAACATCCCCGTGTACAACCCATAGGATAACCACGAGGTGTTCAATGTTAGTTAATGCGCCCTCAGTCGGCGGACTCAGTTTTTCGGTGAGGGCGCTGTGACTTGCGAAGAAATGGTATAAAAAATCCAAAACGCTTGAACAGAATCGATCGCTAACACGCGGATACAATGAAAATCTTAAAAAACGGACTTTCAATACATAATAGTCGCCATCACAAATTTCACATAATAAATATTTATAACAAAAAAAATTAGGAATATGAACGAATCGGACAATTACTTGTTATGCAAATTATTATTACATTTTCCACATTTTCATCTGAGCTATTCTTTTTTTAAATGAATGTGAACGTTCGACCTCTAGTACCGTAAACTCTGGGAAATTTGCAATCGCTTTAGAAATGTGAGTAAATATGGGCGTGAACCATGAGCCAAGTAATGTTACTGGCGTAAAAACGAACCAGATTAATATCACACGTATGCGAAAACCACAAATCATATTATTATAGTTTCTTTACGAAAATAATAGTCCAAAATGAGTATGACAATAACAATGACATTATTGACATACAGGGTTACCTATGTAATTGGTAGTATATCTATTCCTACTTTGTTAACTTTATGTATATGTCAATATAGAACCCACCCGTGACAAGCGGCAAAGGATTTACGTGGAACTCTCTAAAGTTGTTCTCGTTAATTTCACGTGATATTCGCGGTGTTAATTCTAGTGGATAGTTGGTGGTCATAACCATAATATTGATGATGTCAGAGCCGAAGGCGAGGGCACATGAATATTTTGATTATGACAAACAGCAGGAGAAAAGTACAGGAGGTCGAGTCTCAGTGCAGTGGAAGCAGCAAACAACAGACACATCAACTCACAACCATATAATCGCAACCTTAATGCAAGACCGCGTCAGCATCACCTTCAAGGGCCTAAGCTCAAAATCGAGGGACTTGACATAAAATAGCAATCTGCAGGAAAGTTGGCCGACACCAACGTGCTATCAACGAGTAACCCCTTCAGTTTAATTTAGAAAAGTTTGGTTTGATTCAATTTTTCATTTTGGGAGACGTGATCGGGATGAAATGCGAATGATAACCAAGCATTCGTTTAGGGAAAAATTCGATGGTGATGGAAGAAATTTATTGAATATGCTTTCCAAGAAAGAAAGAAACAAACAAACAAAATCATTGCGACGATGTATGCTACCAATAACAACCGGCGTCCCGTGACGGCGTTCGAATTCTACTTGACAAAATTGCACCCGGGTAATTGCCACCACAGGATAACGCAGAATTAGACGACGATATATGATATTGTAATTCTTCACTGAGGCAAATAAATTAAGGGGAATGATTAAGGTAATTTCGAAAACTGCATATTGTACACCAACCACTGTATTAGAGCAACGGCGTGTACCATTCTTGATTCGGCCGGAGTTGAGACAAGGCATATCATGTACGTGTCACAAAAACGATGCGAGCAGTCGATCTTACACCATCAAATTTACCCCATAACAACGACAAAACTTGTCAGGCATACTATCATACAGCCTTAGTTATACCAAAAAGGTATCCAGGTCAGATGTTGGGTCTATAATCGCCTTGCTATCACCGTACACGATACACTACCGCTTCCTCCATGTCTCAAACTTCGGTCGTACCAAGTAAATCCGACTTCGGTGGGAAGTTATTGCTTGAATATCCACTTGGCGGGCAATATACCATGTGTTATCCATTTTTATTCAATGTCATGTGACTGATGTGACAATGAGATGTGATAATATA